TAAAATAACTCATAAATGACAATTTAAATTAGAGCCGTCGATTTACGACGCCTCCTGTGATAGATGCGCCAAATCTTCGTTCCGATGTCCGCATCAAAAGCACTAGCCAACAACGAGATAAAGGAATGATAAAATGGCTCCATGTTCCACTTTTGTTATTCAAATTAAGATAAAAATAAATTTGTGTGGTGATTCTGCAACATTTTCCATCGTGATTCTTGACACATTAATGCATCTTGGGGTTTAAATTTGAATTGGTCTTACTCAAAGTTCTTATTTTCTTCTTTCCTTGAATTTGGTCATTCTACTTCGAAATTTCTCATCTTTCTCAATGGAAAGCCTTTGTGATTTTTCAATCTAGAAAAAGGCTTGCAATGTGAAGAAATGACGAGGTGAGAAGCCCCTTTAACTAAAGGAAGCTTATGTTATGGTCAACTCTTATGCTTTGGCTTTTACGAGAGTGATTCCCTTTGATCTTTTTGGAAAGATCGACCTTGCTTCAAGCCTTTGATAGGAAATAAATGCAGAATTTGAAGAAACCACAAATTTCAGCAAGGTTCAAACAGGAATTTGAGATAAAGCCCTAGGCAAAATAATAGGGAACTTGATAATTGATAAAAACGTAGAAGAAAACAAGCAAGATACAATGGATCTTAAATTCAAGAGGAAAATCCGGCTCTCCCAATCCCTAGCCGACGGCTAGAGCCCAAGCACATAAGAGAACTAAAAAATTAGCAAACAAATCACATAATCCTAACCCTAATCTCTTCTCCCCTATTCAGGAATGCAAATAAAAGCATAATAATTATAAAAAAAAAAACTAGACAACCCCTCCCTAAATAATTTCCCTCCTAAATTGCCCCCCTCTATTTGAATTTGTCATCAATGCATGGGCCCCACAAGGGGTCCCTATTCCACCTGGCATAAACCAGGAGCCAACACCGGCCGGTGTTAGGCCGGTTGGACCGGTCTATCAGCCTCCTTGATCTTTGAGGAACTCATGAGTAGTTTTTCTTGTAGTAGATTAGAGTTAGTTTAATTATCTTTTCTCTCATATTATTTTATGGTTTATTATTTAGATTTGGGGTCAATAATAAACCCCTGTAGTTAATTACCTATCTCACTCATGAGAGAGAATCATCGATTCAGGAGATTGCTTTAGATCAAATTTGATTGTTTGATGTGACTTTAATTGAGTAGGGAATGATTGTGGATGAAGGTAAATCTGATGAAGATCATATGATTCTGTCACATTGAACTTAGATATCAATGTACAACTTAATATTTGGATCGATGCAAAGTCAACCTAATTATGGATTTATAAAATTTATCTCAAAGTTCATGATAGTCTCTTATCACATAAAATTTTTTAGTTATTTCTTCATTTTAGCTATATAACATTAACACTGTGATAGGAAACACTTGTAAATCTTCTGAAAAACAGCGATAATAGTGATTGGACTGCTGTCCTCAGCAGGAAAACATAGTAAAACTGATGTTTACAGCAGTTTAACAGCAGAAATTCGGAGGAAATTTGAAAGAAAACTCAAAGCAAGATTTGTATTCCACTAGACGATGAATAAAATAGCAAGATACAATTGATCCTCAATTCGAGAGGAGGATTGATCTCTCCGAAATCTCTAGACGCCGCTAGAGCCCAAAGAAAAACTTAAATCTAAGAGATCTCAAATTTCTGCCAAATTCAAGATGATCAAAACCTAGGAAAATCAACTATTTAATGCATACAAATCAAAAGGAAATCCCTAAACAGTCCCTACATTCAAATTTCCCTCTCAAAACTCCAAAAAAAACTTCCTAAAATGCTCTAATGGGGCGGACGGGCCGCGGAGGAGATCCCGCGGTTTTTGCGAATAGCCGGTCCCGTGCGGACCGGCTGGACCGGTCTAACACACAAATAGTTTTATTTTAAATCTCCATTCTTCTTTATAATATATTTAGGATATTTAACCTATTACTCATGTGGTATGAAATTGAACATCAAATAAGAAGATTTAAGGATCTAGGACCACAAGAAAAATGGAAACTCTTAAGTAGAATTTTATTTTTATATATGTATGCTAATTATCTTTTTTTATCTTATGTGTGTTAATCAGTATAAATGACTGTATTTGTGATTTTATAATTTGGGGTTGTTGTTGTTGTGTTTGCAAACATTGGATCTAAGAAGAGGAGGCTTTGTGGTTGGCCCTCACATAAAGAGGTTTGGTGATCTCTTCAACCCTATTATTTTGGTGAGTAGCAAGTTTATCTTATCTTTATTTTTAAAAATTCTTTTTGTTGCAAAATCTTTCTACACTCAACCCCACACCATTCCATACACATTTCCTTGCATTCTCCATACAAAATCCCATCCAAAACACCTTTTAAAATTGTTGGACAGGACTAGTCTGAATTTGAACTAGTTGGATTCTAGCCTTCATTTTACCCATCCAAACCCTTAGAATTTCTTCAAAATTTTCTAGAATTATTCTTAAGAGCCTCCTTTTCTAGGATGGAACTCCAATTTTTGCAAACACAACAACAAAAATAAAAAATTACAAATAAAAATACATAGTTTTTTACTCCAATTTAGAGACACATAAAATTGAAATTTTACTTAAAGCACATCAACAACAACAACAACAACAAGCCTTTATCCCACTTAGTGGGGTCAACTACATGAATCCTTCTTCATTTTCATATTAAGAGTCAAATTCTCATCTAAGTCTAATAAAGAAAGGTCATTTTTAATATTTTACAACCAAGTCTTTTTAGGTCTTCCTCTGTCTTTCTTAACATAAGTCAAATCTAATACATCTACTTTCCTAATCGGGTCATTAGAAGGCCTCTGTTTTATGTGACCAAACCATTTAAGGCGACTATCTCTAATCTTATCTTCCACTAGAGCCACTACAACCTTTTCACGTATATGCTCATTTCGTATCCTGTCTCTAAGAGTAAAATCACTCATCCACCTGAGCATCCTCATCTCTGCAACATTTAACTTAATATTATGCTTCTCTTTTAATGGCCAACATTTTGCACCATAAAGCATTATAGGTCTCACTACCATCTTATAGAATTTTCTCTTAAGTTTGAGATGGACTTTTCTATCACACAACAAATTCGTCACATTCCTCCGCTTCAACCATCCAATTTGAATTTTACTAATAATATCCCCATCTATTTCACCATCACTATGGGCAATAGACCCAAGATATATAATACGTGTACTCTTAGTAATAACTTGTTCGCCCCCAAAGTCACAATCTCTCCACTTGATCTATTATTACTAAAACTACACTCCATATATTCAGTTTTAGATCTACTCAAACGAAAGTCTTTAGACTCTAAGGTTGACCTCCATAATTCAAATTTACCTTCAACTCCCTCCCTAGTCTTATCAACAAGAAGAATATCATCAACAAAAAGCATCATCCAGGGTACAACCTCTTACAAATGTCTAGTGAGAACATCCATGACTAAAGCAAAAAGATATGGGCTTAAGGCCGATCCTTGATTTAATCCAACTGAAATAGGAAAATACTTGGTCAAACCACCTTGTGTTTGAACAGAAGTAACAGCTCATGCATACATATTCTTAATAACTTGACTATAAACATTATTAACCCCTTTCTTATCTAAAACTCTCCATATCACTTCTCTTGGAACTTTATTTTATACTTTCTCTAAATCAATAAAAATCATATGTAAATCCTCCTTATTCTCTCTATACTTTTGCATCAAACCTCTCAATAAATGTATAGATTCCATAGTAGACCTATTTGACATGAATCCAAATTGATTTTGAGAAACATTAGTGTCATGCCACAACCTATGCTCTATAACCCTCTCCGATAGTTTTAAAGTATGACATATTAACTTAATTCCTTTATAATTCGCACAATCATGTGCATCACTTTTATTCTTAAAAATAGGAATCAACACACTCATTCTTCACTCATCTGACATCTTTTTAGGTTGTTACTTAAAACACATAAAAATAAAATTTTATTTGGAAGCTTTCATTTTTCTTGTTCTCCTAGGTCCTTTAATCTTCTTCTTTGATGTGACATCTTGTGCCACATCAATTACACTTAGGTATCACCTTATATTTTGATAATATTAAAGAAATATAATCCTTAAAATTATATCCACTAAAATTATACATCACATATTTAGTCTTTATTCTACTAATTCAATAGCTTCTATCTTCTAAACATTTCCTCCACTATACTAGTTTTATTATTATTATTATTATTATTTTTGTGGGCTCCGAAAATTCGTCCCCGGCCTCCGCTCGCTTTTCTTATTTGGCGAGGGAGTTTTAACGAACTAAGTTCCGAGGTAAATTTTGGAAGGCAGATGGGTTTGTAGATAAGACACTACCCAGAGATTTCGCCCTCATTTTGCGAGGACTTTATGATCTGAGTTCTGGTTTCCTATAGGCGCAAGCCCCTATAGTTAATTACCCCTCCCGATCACGAGAGAGAACTTTCGATTAAGGCTAGTCGTCAATCAGATACGTATAGAATACGTGTTATCTGGCATATAGTAGCAGCATAGGGATAGGTATTTGGAAATTGGGTTTGGATTTAGAATTTGGAGAAGTTGGATATTTAAAACAGAAATTTCACCATCTAGTACTTAAAGCGGATGGTGGGGGAATGAATGATGGGCCCGATCAAGATCCCATGGTTCCGTCATCCCGGGCCATCGTGGTCCCTGGTCTACTTAGTCAGAGGAGGTAGTCGACCCAACCTGACAGAAGGATCCTTGTCGGCAGCCATGGGTTGCTTCGTCCAAGGGAACCTTGTAGACCGGGGTTGAATGTTTGTCTAAGGGGTCAAATTTAAATCCACCTTAGCTTACAGAGGGCTTTGTGCCCTATCGATCATATCCTATTGATTCATATCTCAAGGATTTAACGCCATTAAGGAGCGTATTGGCTCTGGCCATAACCGCTATCTGTGGTACCATTTGGCGGCAAAACCACTCACATGACAGTTGAAGAAAGGATTGGAGCAGCTGATAGGAGAAAGATGGATGGCAATGCTTTATTCAAAGAAGAAAAGTTGGAAGAGGCGATGCAACAGTATGAAATGGTAAGAACTTAGAATCCTCTAGTTTCATATATTTTTGCCTGTTGGTTGGTTTCAACTATAACTTTTTTTACAATTAATGATTGAGCTTCTTTTGATGTTAGGCTATAGCATATATGGGGGATGACTTCATGTTCCAGTTGTTTGGAAAATTCAGGGACATGGCTTTGGCGGTGAAAAACCCTTGCCATCTCAATATGGCTGCTTGCTTGATTAAGTTGACACGATATGAAGAAGCCATTGGCCAATGTAGCATTGTACGTATGCATATAGAATTTCAATTAGTCACGTATGCCTTTTTCTAACATTATTAGCTTGGGATTCGGATTTAGGCCTTTAGGGATAGTATTTATCTTAGAATGGGAGTTTTTAGGTAATTGGAAATGCTACTGAAGGTTAACTAAATAGAATGATTTTTTTTTTTTTTTTTGTGGACCTTGATAGTATTCTATTTTTAAGAAGTACTTCAGTTAGTTTTTTTTGTTTAAGGAAACATTAAGGACATTTCTGTTTTGGAACAGTTTTAGATTGGTTTGTATTTATTGCAAAAGGCAACATAAAGTTGATTCACATAGTTTTAAGTTAACGATCTTGCTTGTAACTTTGTACACTCTCACGTCTCTTAAGCAAGTACAAAACTTTGAATGTATGGAAAGGTTATATGAGATCAATATGCTGGAAAAAAAATACTGCTAGCGCTAATTAGCACCTGATTCAATAAAAAGGTTATCCATGTTAATAATTCAAATTCTTAGGCCTCCAAGTGATGGTACCTTTAGTTGTTTCTTTGACTTGTAAATCGGTTTTAAACCAAAAAGTTGATTTCTTCGCTGAAATAGTATACTTCATTTTACTCTTAGCTTTTTATTAATGGGTTGACGTTTAAAAAGTTGAGCCATCAGTGATGGATCATGGAAAGCTAGAGAGATGTTGCTTTGGTTGGACAAATGTAAGCGTTTTAATGAGAGGCATATGTAGTCCTTTAATCGATTTTCTTTATCCAGCTGTGGTTAGCTATTAATTGCTTTTTCATCTTAAGTATGGTCATGATGTAGGACATTTGAGTCTAGATTTTTAATGCAAATCCAATAGGAGATGGAAAAGAAATTATGCAAAATGTGCACAAAGTTTTGAATTTAACAAACTTTTAATTTTAAACAATTATTCGTCACTTATGATGAAAGTTTAATTATTAAAGTCAATCAAATGAGATGAAAATTAAATGAACTTTATTAGGCCGGTTCATCCTGAAATGGCTAGGCCGGCTATTGTTTACAGGAGGCGGACAAGTACTGCCTCCCATTAATGATGCCGCCTATGCTGTGGGCCCCACTAGGAGCAAAGCAAGGAAAGAGAGAGCAGCGTCTAGAGATAGAGGGAAAGAATTTGAATTAGGAAATCAATGTATTAATAGTATGAGTTGTTTTAGGGTTAGGGTTATGCATGTTTTGTGTCTTTCTCTTGGAGTCCTTTGGCTTTTTGGCTCTAGATTTCGTCATCTAGAGATTTAGGAGAGACGATCATCCTCTCGAATTGAGGATCTCTTGTATCTTGTTTTCCTTATTGTTTGACTTTGATTTTCCTACTGCAATATATTGTTTTGGGTTGTTTTCACCCAGATTTTGCGTCATTCTCGTTGTTTTTCACCAATTGGTGATAGGTTTGCTTGCGAACTCAAGTATTTCCTATCAAATTGGTATCATAGCAAGTCTTGGGGCCAGTGGAGGGCTGTTTTTGGCGAATTTCAGTCGCTGTTTTTTGTTCGAAAAAGAGGGAAGTTGTTGTTTTTGGAGACCCAAATTCAAATTTTGTGAATCTACAAACTCCGGATAGTGATGTCGGCCAAGAAGGTGGATGCTTTGGAAGAGAGACTTGAAGGGGAGATGAATCAAATCAAGACAACGGTGGAGGAAAGGATTTCCTCCATGGAAGGACAAGTAGCCGATCTTCGGGATATGATTAAGAAAATTTTGGAAATCCACAACCAATTGGCAGCTTCCATGGCAAAAGGGATGGAAGGGAAAAGCACAAATTCTGAAATTCGTAGGGAGGAAGATGAGGTGGAAATCATGGAAAGAGAAAGAAGAATCTTTTATCAATCTAGAGTCTGTCTAGAGTGAAGAAAGAGGAGTTGGATATGGGGAATGCCAGGAGGGATACTATATCCGCCGAGGTGCTGATTTTGAAGAAAGAAGGGGGGAATTCGAAGGGAGTTTGGGCTATGGCAAGGCAAGGGAAGACCGGAGACGTGGGGAGGGCCAAGCACTTAGGAGAGGGGAAGCTATGGAAGAATAAGGGGGAATGGTGGAGATCAGAAGGTGAGGAAGCTGAAGATGCTCATATTTGAAGGGGAGGATGTTTATGAATTGATTTACAAGGTGGAGAGGTACTTCGCCGTCAATGGGCTGACGGAGGAGGAGAAGCTGACATCGACAGACTTGTGCTTGGAAGGGAAGGCTCTGTCTTGGTATTAGTGGAGAGACCAAATGAGACCGATCAGGAACTGGAGGGAATTTAAGGAATGCATAATAAAACATTTCCAAACCGATCGGGGAGGAGATTTTTATGAGCAGTTATTTGCTCTGACACATGAGGGATTAGTAGCAGACTACCGGGAGCATTTTGAGCACCTGGCCAGCAGGGTGGAGCGATTATCAGATATTGTATTGAAGGGGAACTTCATGAAGGGGTTGAAGGTAGAGATCCGAGCAGCAGTGAAAGTTCTGATGTCTCGTGACTTGGGGGAGGCCATAAAGTTGGCATAGTTAGTTTAAAATTAGAAAAATCTGGAGAGGGGAGCCAGGAGTAACAACATAGGGAGCACTTACAGGATGAAGATCACCCATCTTGCACCTAAAGGTCAAGCAACAGGAGTAAGTCGGGAGGCCACTAGGGAGAAGACAGTAGGAGGGAATGGAGGAAATTTCAAGCGGCTGATAGAGAAAGAGATGCAGGAGAAGAGGGCTAAAGGGTTGTGCTTCAGGTGCGATGAGAAGTATACGCTAGGGCATCGGTGCAAAGACCGAACTCTTCAGGTTCTCACCGTCTGTGATGACAAGAAAACTGAGAAGGGAGGTGAGGAGGAGATGGAGGAAAAGCTGCATTTGAATCTGACCAAGGTTTCCTTGAACTCAAGATTAAAAAAAAATTCATGCTCACTAAATCAATTATGATAGTACTGAATCGTATGCTTCTCAAGATTAATAAAATTATATGAATATGTATTCAAGTTATATACACTCTCCATCAATTAATTTAACACCTAAATGCCTTATATAATAGATATTCTGGCTTGAAATTAAATTAGTTATGTTAAATTTATTTAGTTTTTCCAGGCCTATATTTTTTCACTTCCTCTCATAGCTTTATTGTATATCTTTTTTTTTTTTTTAGTTTGCATGATCTTAGACATCTCAATTGTTCTTAAATTTTTTGCATCAAAATGCTTATTTAATTATTCAACGTCATCTTAGTTTTAAATTTTATTGAAAATATTTATTAACCAAATCACTGTAATATCATTAATGACTCTCCAAATCCCAATTGATATTACACATGGATCTAAAGTCTATATTTATGCATCCTTTTCAAGCTTAATTCCACTTTCCTTTTTGGATCAACTTAATATATCTCATTTTGTTCTTTAAAAACAATTTCTTACCTACAACTCTCATTTAGTAAGTTCTCAGATTATATTTTGATCTTGCCTTTATATGTTATATCTGACCAAACTCTTATTTTCATTTTTAATGGATCTAACATGATCAAAATCCTTAAATCTCTTATTTACCTTTGTTATTCTATGTGTCTCATTTTATATCTCCTTAATACCAATTCTTTTATGTAAATTATAAAAAACTGTAACTTTTGCTTTACCCACTATTTTTTTTTTAAATCTCTAGCTTCCTTATAAGAGCTAATAGGCCGTAGTTGTATTTAACTTTTGCCATCTCTTAGAAGCATATTTCTTTACCTTGGTAACTCTTTGTTTTGCATCACAAGCAAAGTCGCACAGCTACGGAGAGCCGAAGAAGCGCGCAAAAGGTAGGGAGTTAACTTCACAGTCGGCGGGCTCCTGTTCTGGATTGCGATCGAACGGGAAGGGAAAGCCGTGGAAGGAGCGGGGTCGATCGGCCAGAGGGAGGAAATCGGGCAGCTCGAGGCGCTCGACTTCGGTCGGGTAGCACACGAAAGGGAGAAATTTAATCCCACAGCCCGCGAGCTCTGGCTTGCTTCCGATCAGACAGTCGTAACTTCCGTTCCGACTGGAAGGGAAAGTCGCGTGAAGGAGCGAGGTCGACCGGCGTCGGAGGGAGGGGAAGGAGCGCGTAGAAGAGAGAGCTCGGGCGAATTTTGCGTGGAGAAGAGGAAGAATCCCCAACGAGGGAGCTTTGGGTCGGTATTTGAAGGCGACCTGGGCGCTCGTTCGAGGTTCTGCGAGGGATTTGCGGGAGGTGACCGATTCGGCGCTGTCTCGGCGGTATTTCGTGCAGGATTCGCGGGATTTGTCGAGCCTGAGGTTTGCGAGATATCCGGGATTCAACAGAGCAGAGGTATCATTTCGTTTTTTTTTTTTGTTTTCCTCTTTTTTTTTGATATTATACGGAGGTCAACAATTTTAGTGGATGTTTACAAAGCAGAACTATATCATGCTCAAAAAGTGTATGCCAAGGCATCTCAAATTGAGTATCCTTTGAAGTATCTTTATAGCTGGCGCAAAGTGATTTATACTCAATATTGGTCTTTAATGTAAACCTTAAGCAATTGAAAATTCTTAAGATACTCCTTAGTTACTTATAACACTTGTTAGCGGTTCATCGTATATGTATTTAATAACATTAACAACCTTTGGCATATATTTTTCTATTTGAATGCTCACTAAATCCATTATAATAGTACTCGATCGTATGCTTCTCAAGATTAATAAAAATTATATGAATATGTATTCAAGTTATATACACTCTCCATCAATTAATTTAACACCTAAAACCCTTCTATAATAGATATTCTGGTCTGAAATTAAATTAGTTTTGTGAAATTTATGTAGTTTTTCTAGGCCTATATTTTTTCACTTCCTCTCATAGCTTTATTGTATATCTTATTATTATTTTTTTATAGTTTGCATACTGTTAGACATCTCAATTGTTCTTAAATTTTGGCTTCAAAATGCTTATTTAATTATTGGACGTCATCTTGTTCTTTAAATTTTATTGAAAATATTTATTAACCAAATCACTGTAATATCATTAATGAGTCTCCAAATCCCAATTGATATTACATATGAATCTAAAGTCTATTTTTATGCATCTTTTTTCTAAATTTTGTATGCTCTTATTGAGATTAACAGTCTTATCCCATATTTGACTAAAGTATTTCAATTTGCCTCCCTACTGACTTATCTTTAAATATTAACAATTTCTCGCTTTCAAATTCCATCACCTTATCTTTGTTTAATGTATTTTTTGTTTTTAATATTTCATGATACAAGTATATAAAGACCAATAAAAAATATATTAAAAAAAAGGTAAGGTAATGGAATTTGGAAGTGAGAGAAATTATATATATATATATTAGAGGTCAATAAAGAGGATGTTTCAGATCAGTCTTGATTCTTGAAGGAGGCAGCTCCTGCAACATGTCTTCAAGGAGGCACTTGCCCTATTCTATTTTGGAAAAATTTTCCTTCCTTAATTTTGGTAAGGATGCTTGATTTTGAACAGGCTAGGCAGAACATCTGCTACTTGATCACTAAAATTAGTTGGAACGAATGAGAGAAGCTAACGGAGAGGTTCTACTTTGTTTTTGTTTTTTTTTTAAATTTCATTTGGAAGAACTCTGCACCGAGGTAGTTTTTACATAAACCAGTGCTCGAGTTAAAAAAACTATCAACCTCTAATTTGGCTACATATTCCATAATCTTAATAATCCTGATCAACTATTATGTCCTAAGTAAGTTTAGTTTTTCCTTTGTTTCTTTGGAGTTGATGTAAAGCTTGTTTTGTGAATCACTCCATGCTTATTGTTGTGGTCGTATACCTTGTGCTGCGTGTATTTGCCGACTTCTCAGTATCGTTACTTCTCTTCCAGATGAATAATTGTTGCTTTAGGCTTCGTTTGGGGCAGCTTTTTTACTGCTTCTTAAAGCAGCTTTCTTGTACTAAAAAGCTGTTTTAAGAAGCAGTAAGAAAGCCATCCTTAATATTAATCTCATCTTGGAGTAAATCTGCTTCAAAAAATCCTTATTTTTTATAATGACAACCCGCATTATTGAACTTCCAGGTGCTGACAGAAGATGAAAATAACGTGAAAGCATTATTCAGGCGAGGGAAAGCTAGAGCAGAACTTGGTCAAACTGATGCTGCTCGAGAGGACTTTGAAAAGGCTAAGAAAATTGCTCCCCAAGACAAGGCTATCGCAAGGGAACTTAGACTGATCGCAGAACATGAAAAAGCAGTCTATCAGAAACAGAAGGAACTTTACAAAGGGATTTTCGGACCAAGACCTGAACCAAAGCCCAAACGGAGTTGGCCTTTGCGTTTTTGGCAGTGGCTTGTCTCCATATTTTACTACCTCTTGAGGTTTCGCAAACAAAAGGCTGAGTGAACTATTTGCTACCCGGTGAGTGCTAGCTAAGTACCACTCTTTCTATTTGTGTTGGAAGACCTGGAAGATCTTGGACGTGTAAAAGTTATTACTTAGTGGGATGATTTCCTTTAAATATTTTATGGGATTTTTGTTAGATGGGGCTTTCAACTATTTTATTTGGTTTAGATGTTTTTTGGGCTGGATAAGCTCCTAAGGCTTGACAAATGTTTCTGATGCCCTCTACTTATCACTTTCTGAACTGCTTTTGGAGAGTAAAACATAAAATTGAATGAAGCTTCAATACTGGACTAAGAAAGCCAAAAATCTCCTTGTTTAGCAACAAGTCTTGCGGAATGACCAAGCCAAAAACCCAATAATTGCTCATCCGGTTGCCAATAAATCAGAAAATTATTTCCGGTCACTGGACATAGAGATAGGTCCAGACACCGATAAAATATTGATATGTGGAGAAAAGCGCGGGTAAAGCATAGTCAAAGCGCAATTAAAAAGTACAGTCCACATGACAAGTTTTAATTGGATGTCTAGACATATTTTTAGGTCCGGTGACGGGACCTAATAATTTGCCCAATAAATCAGAGAATGACCATCCAGCAGTGTGGAGATACCAAAACAGGGAGAACTGTGTTTCATCCTTGTCCAGTTGCTGGAGGCAGCCCGTCAAAAATAGTAATGATTTCTTGGAAATTCTTCCAGCTAGAGATTTTGTGTTTGAAGGCATTTACATAGTGTAAAAGACTGTCTCTGCATTTAAATTGAGATAATAAAAAGAATTTGAAAGTTGATTTGCTTCTGTTAGGCAACCTTACCGGATTCTGGTCAACACCAGATACAGGAACTGCAGATAAGACACCACAGATAGAGGTGGGCAAGTTCAGAGGAAAGTCCCAACAGCCTCTATTTATAACATATTTAAGTTTATAAAGCTCAAATGCTACTTAGAGAAGGGAAGAGTGAATGCAATGATCATAATACACGTGCCCCAATGCCTACTTATAATCTCACTTCCTCTTAAATTTTTCTAACATATGCATTAAGCAGATGAGACGAAAATAGTGTTCTAGTGATACTTAACCTCATACACCTATTTTTAGTAAGTGGGGCCAAAATCTCTCTCGTATCTGCATCATATAGATGGGTCAGAAAAGTACCTTTACGACATTTATAACATAACAAAGAGTGGACTTTTCCACCTTTCAGTACAAAACTTCAAAAAATGCAATGCACTGCACAGTAAATAGATTAAGCATTTAATTCAATATTCAGATGATGTAAGCATTGTCAGTAAAATGTCATAGTACTTGTGAAGTAGACTATTCATTAAATTTTCCCTTTTCAATTTCAAACTTTCTAGGAATGCTCACATGAACATTTCATGACTTTTATACAACTATTACATTTGTCAGAAAAGTCTCGATTAAATAGTATATTCAAAAAATTGTGCGGAAAAACAAACTATTAAAAACTCAAATTTGTATAGACAAAATATCCACTAAAGATGCAATAACATATTAAAAATCATTTGATTGAAACTTTATAAAATCTAAAAAAATATATTTTTATTCATATCTTCTTATAGACATACTAAAATAATATTCAAAAAATTGTGCGGAAAAACAAACTATTAAAAACTCAAATTTGTATAGACAAAATATCCACTAAAGATGCAATAACATATTAAAAATCATTTGATTGAAACTTTATAAAATCTAAAAAAATATATTTTTATTCATATCTTCTTATAGACATACTAAAATTGAAATCAAAGATAGAGGTTTAGGAGTCTACCTCGAGTTTTACAATTCCCTGAATTGGCTCGACGGACGAATCCTGAACTTTGGCCTTCAAACTCTCTCTCACTTTCTCTTTATTATCCTATCCTCCTCTTCTTCCCCGACAAGGTTGGGTGGAATGGTGCATGCAAAAAGGTTTTAGATATTTTAAATAGTGTATTTATATTATTTTGACCTAGTATCACGGCGCTCATTTTTCTAGCACCATAGCGCAACTAGAAAATCTTCTAGATGCTCCCAGAATATGCTCACATGAGACCCGACGCCTTGAGCTCACAGAAAACCTTTTTTTTTTGTTCAAAAATTGGAGAGCTCAAAGCTGGGGCACCAACTATGAATTTTAAAACTTTGGATTTTCACTTCTCTAATCCAAACCTTGGCTTAATTAAGCCCCAATACACATTTAGAATTTTAAAACTTTAACGTAATTAGCTTTAATTACCTAAGTCTCTAACGACTTGCATCACACTTTGGCTAATAAGACTCACTTTTTTAACATATCTTGGCATCCCTATTGTCACTAGAAGATTTCTTATATTAGATATTCAAACTTTGAAGAACAAAGCTTCTTATCTCTTGGAAGGTTGAAAAGCAAAATCTTTATCTCTGACTATAAGATTACAATACCTTAGATTCACTATTTGGAATGCGATAACTTATTAGAATCATTGAGTTATTATACACAAAACTTGATATAAATTTCTTAGCAAAATCCGAGCCATGTTTCTTTTTATTAATATATACATACTAAAGATATTAAAATTAAGGAAAATTTACATGCACATCATTTTATTTCAAACTATTTACATATCTAACATCCAAAATATTAATATTACATGTTTACAATCCATATACAACATTAATATCAAATATATCACTCCTACAATTCATTTCTACCATTCATACTATCCTATAAACTTAAATATTTTATTTCATGCACTCAAATTTATTATATCAGTGATAGTTATGTAATATTAATATTTTAGATATTAGATATGTTAATAACATCAAATAAAATGTGGTATGTATGTAAATCACTAAATCCCCTAAAATTAAAAGTGATATAAACTGGCGTAACAAGAAAGGCGCGTAGGTCGACCTTCTTCCTTGCAGAAATTATTGGGTCAGGTGACCGAAGCCATCTCTCCGTTCGGTCGCCAATAAAAATGCGCCATCTGTCAGTCGTTTTTTTAATTTAATATTAACGCTTTATGTCTTGTCAGAGTTAGCGACCCGACCCGATAACGCTATTCATTTGAACTTTTAAGCTTTTGCCGCCCTATTTTTTCATTTTGAGACCCGCGAAAGACGCAAATATGTGCTGCTGTAGAAGAAAAAACGAGCCAGAAAATTGCAGAGAAGAAATGGACTGCTCAGTGAAGAGGGAGGTGGAAGAGGGAGTGCAACATATTAAAAATCATTTGATTGAAACTTCATAAAATCTAAAAAATATATATTTTTATTCATATCTTCTTATAGACATACTAAAATTGAAATCAAAGATAGAGGTTTAGGAGTCTACCTCGAGTTTTACAATTCCCTGAATTGGCTCGACGGACGAATCCTGAACTTTGGCCTTCAAACTCTCTCTCACTTTCTCTTTATTATCCTATCCTCCTCTTCTTCCCCGACAAGGTTGGGTGGAATGGTGCATGCAGGTTTTAGATATTTTAAATATATAGTGTATTTATATTATTTTGACCTAGTATCACGGCGCTCATTTTTCTAGCACCATAGCGCAACTAGAAAATCTTCTAGATGCTCCCAGAATATGCTCACATGAGACCCGACGCCTTGAGCTCACAGAAAACCTTTTTTTTTGTTCAAAAATTGGAGAGCTCAAAGCTGGGGCACCAACTATGAATTTTAAAACTTTGGATTTTCACTTCTCTAATCCAAACCTTGGCTTAATTAAGCCCCAATACACATCTTAAAATTTATAATTACACATTTTATCAATTATAAATGAAACTTTAACGTAATAAGCTTTAATTTCCTAAGTCTCTAACGACTTGCATCACACTTTGGCTAATAAGACTCACCTTTTTTAACATATCTTGGCATCCCTATTGTCACTAGAAGATTTCTTATATTAGATATTCAAACTTTGAAGAACAAAGCTTCTTATCTCTTGGAAGGTTGGAAAGCAAAATCTTTATCTCTGACTATAAGATTACAATACCTTAGATTCACTATTTGGAATGCGATAGCTTATTAGAATCATTGAGTTATTATACACAAAACTTGGTATAAATTTCATAGCAAAATCCGATCCATGTTTCTTTTTAATGATGATATTAACATGAGGAAATTATGTCTCATTTCTTGGAAAAATACTTGTAGGCCATTTCAATTTGAGGGTCTTAGGTTTCCTACTCTTCATAATATCACTTCTTCTTATAACTTCTACTTAATTTGCAATTTCTTTCTAATGTCTCTTCTACTAAATGGTGGAAATTTAAGCGTACCTCCTTGTGGAAGTAGCAGGCTGGATGTTCCTTCCCTTTTAAGACAAATATTAAAAAAACAACTAATATAATAAAGCTTTGTATCACCTTCAAAATCCATACTGGTAGCAGGTTTTCTACCTTTTGGGATCTGTGGCTCCCTAGGAGCTCTGTAATGAAAATTGTTAACTTCTTTAACTTTGTTGATATTTGTTCTTATGCCAATATTTTTGACATTTTGGTTAATGGCTGATGGTGCATCTTTAATTCTTGGTCTTTGGTTTTAAGACAACTTATTTCTTCTATAAATATTCTTGATTTTTGTTATGAGCGGATCGAAGACTTAGGCTAAACCTATTTCTTAAGAACTTTTTGTAGTTCTTATATCCACTATTTCTTGGTATATGAATATTTTACACAAGAATTATGCTTTAAGATTTTCAATGTTTACCTAGTTGGCTTTAGGCGGCGTTTTGAAAATTGCTAACTCTCATATTAGAAGAAATTTCTTGATTAACTTTGATTGCTCTCTTTGCTTTTCATATTTTTGAGAATTCCCCTCACTAATTCCTCATGTTTCAATCTTCTTGATGTGGCCAAATATCAAGCAAGTGTTTGATTATATTTTAGAGCTAAGCAATGGCTTTAAAACCATAAGAAATATATATTACCTTCCTATTTGATGCTATGTTTATTTCATTTGAAAGGATATGAATCACAAGAAATTCACATCTATTTTAATAGTGTCTCTATCATTCAATATCTTATTAAAAAAATGCTATTCAACTCAAGATTAAAAAATGGGAGAATTTTGAGGAAATTAAAAAAAAATTTCATTTGATATTCAAACTGGAATTTCTCTCTCTGGTTCAGGGTTTTGCTTTATTGGACAATGATGAAAGATTTATTCTTCAAGCCTCCATCATTGTGGAAATATCAACTGTTCTCCATCAATGGCCTTTTCAAAGGTAATAAGGGCATTTTCATCTCTTATGGATTTCCTCTTTGCTTAGTTTATTTAATGGCTAAAAATTCTATATCTTATGAGTCCATTATTTATTGGTGCCTATCTTTTTTTTTGCCTTATATTGATTAAGCCAATTTTCAATATTTCAGTTTCTAATATAATGTTTCTCTCTTACTATTCAATTATTTTTCTTCAATTGGTATATAAGTTGAGCTTGGCTGAATTTTTATTTGCAGCTCTTATTCTTTTGAATGTAATTGGGTAGGTAAGTTAGCTTTGGCCTTGATATTTATTCTCATATAACATAATAAATTGTTGGTACATTGTCCTCAACCTTAAAAAAATAAATAAAATCTCAAACAATAAAATTTATTAATATATACCATACTAAAGATATTAAAATTAAGAAAAATTTACATGCACATCATTTTATTTAAAGCTATTTACATATCTAACATCCAAAACATTAATATTACATGTATACCACGCATATACAACTTGAATATCAAATATATCACTCATATACAACTTGAATATCAAATATATCACTCATACAATTCATTTTTATCATTCATATTATTCTATAAATTTAAATATTTTATTTCATGCACTTAAATTTATTATATGAGTGATAGTCATATAATATTAATATTTTAAATATTAAATAGATAAATAACATGAAATAAAATATGTTATGTATGTAAATGAGTAAATCACTAATAAGAAAGGCGCGTAGGTCGACTTTCTTTCTTGGCACGCGAAAGCGTCCTCACTTCTCCGGGAAGCAAGCGAGCTTCCATGACGACGGCGGTGTTGTTGAGCTCGTGAAACCACGGCGGTGAATTCCTTACGCTTTGATAAAATACTTGCTCCTTTCACCTAGTTTCGGCTAGAAAATAATGGCGCAGGACTGCGAGAGTAGGTTAAAGAAGATCATGGACAAGCTCTATTACGCACCAAGGCCGAGGCTCTCCACTCCTAGGTCAATACGTTCTCTTGAATCTTTCATTGAGTTAGATGTTCTCGATACTTGTCACACTGATTTTTTTGTTTCTTGTCTTTCTTTACTATGAAAGTTCGCATAGAGGTAGTGATGTGATTGCGAGCGAGCGTGCAGTAGCGCGGGCTCTGGCGCTGCGGGGACCGGTGGAGAAGACGGCTCCCTGCCGGCCATGGGATCGGAGGGATCTTTTCAGTAGGTTGACGACTTTCAAGGCCATGACTTGGTTCGGGAAACCTAAGGTTGGTTCGCTGCTAATATATTTGTGAATTTTTATAGGGGCTTTGATTCCGTGAAGGCATTTTTTTTGTCTATTTTATGATCCTCTGCCTTGCACTCGAATACGTGATTTGGGGTTGCTGGGCTGGAATTGCTTCTTGAGGTGTTTCGATTCATGACAGTTAAGGTTGGGAGTATGAATTAGTGTATATTTTGCTCCATATTCATTCCTAGTAATTCGAGGGGGCTTTAATAAATTTCTATCATGCTTGAGGTGTATTTGCGAGATTTGTGACGAACTTTTACCACTTCATGAAGGGTGGAATTTAAGAAACTGAACTTAAATTCTTTGGTTTGTTGTTAAGATAGTTTGGTGTTAACATAATCCCACATGTATGTTTATCTAGTTATGTTAACTTGTGTTATGCTAAAATTGTTTGGTTGGTGAGAAGTTTAATTGTTAATCCTATATTCCATGGGTTGTATAGGTGGTTGGAGTTTATCTCCTGAAGCGTTCAAGCTCTAGGCTAAGTCAATTTAAATGGTTGAACAATTAATGCTGGTTAAAGTTACCTAGTGGTTTAGGGTTTATTTTTGCTGTAAGGATGGTGCCAAAAGACACTAAGCTGAAGTGTCACTAAAATTGAGATTGGTGTGCCATAAAATAATCACAAATGAGAAAGGGAAAATACTAGAGACATCAAGATTTATGTTATTTGACTTTATCCAAGTCTACATCCACATAAGCAGATAGATGATCTAATCCACTAATAACAAACACAACTCAAAATCATGACGTGCAAAGTAAGTGCAATCATCAAAAGGTTCTCAATTTTGCAGTATACACTCACAAAAAAGAAGGTTCTCAATTTTCTGAATTTTGTAAGTTGACTCTTCAACGTCTCTAAAATGTGATGCTTCAATGTAGTCGAAGAAATAACTACAACAACTCCTGAAATTGCACCTTGCAAGATACAATCTTATGACTCTTGTGCTCTCACGACAACCAAATTATCTTGGCTTACCTAAAGGATCTTAACATCTCCACCTTGCATCACTCAGAGCACCTAAAGATATAAGATTCATTGTATCAAGTATGTATCTCATGCTAACAATTGTCCTATTACAATCATTGCCAAGACTTCTAGTTCTATGCACACCTATTGCATGATTTATAATTAGAAAATAATGATCTATAATACCACATATGAAATAGTATGTTGAGTCAAGCACCCTTGATCACTGTGCATCTAACTTGCATTTATATAAAGAACATTGCTAAAATGTATATAAATTTTATTTGGATTTGTTGTCAAGTCCTCTTGATGGTTATAATATGCATGCTACTCCTTTAGTGTCATATAATCTCTCTTGATGTGCATCCTTGCCTCTGAAATAAAATAAGTTTTTTTGCTAATAGCTTGCTTCTAGAGATGGACCCTTTTTGATGTGAAACCAAACATGCAAGGATGATTAGATTAAGGAATTTGCACGCTTAATATTTAGAGCACAATAATTATATCTTTATAGTGATTTCGAACGACAACATAAAACACAAAGAGCGGCGACATAAGCTTAGGCTAAATCACATGTGTAGGAGTTTAGACCGTAAAAAAATCAATTAGTCTAACATTGCATGCATGGAAAGTTTCAGCAAGAAATCCCTAGACTAACAATGAGATTAATACTATGAAGGATCCCTCATACAACTCTATAATTTACTAGGCTTTAGCGGAGGACTAAAACGATCTCATTGAATCAGTTAAATTCCACAATTGGAAGTAACGAGGAAAATAATGAGTGAGGGAAAGAGTTCACTGAAGGTAGCCGACGACGGATGGATTGGTTGACATCCCACGATCATTCACGATCCATTTGGGAGGTGTTCCTCAATTGACAGGGCCAACGTGAAGATGATGCGTTCAATGTAGCTTTCCACGGAGTCGTCGACGTCCAAATTGAAATCGAAGAATGGAGATCGGAGAATGTCGGTCCGGTCCAGAGAATCCTTTACGAACTCATGATCAAAATCCGGGTCGGACATGCATGATTGTCTAAGAGAGAAAGTAGAGACTGAGAGGGGAAAGGGATCTGGTAGGTTCGACCAAGTAAAGGGGAAGAAGGGAAAATAGTTAAATCTGAAAATAATTTTAGATATAGTGAGTAATTATATAGTAATTTTCTTGAAATTTGAATTTGAAAGAGTGGGAATTAGGAAGAAAAGTGGGGATGAGATTGAATTAATTAGATCCTTAATTTATGGGACCTAATTAATTAGAGAGAGGAGGGGGAAGGGGCCGACCATGGAGAGAGGAGAGAGGAGAGAGAGAGGGGTTAGGCATTAAGGAGGTGGACCCAAGCCATTAAGGGGATTGAATACTTTTCTGAAATTAATTTCAGATTTAAGTTAATTGGGGGGTTTTCCTAAACTAAAGGAGGAGAATTTAAGAAGAGTTTTGAAATTCAAATATTTTGAATTTGAATTTGAATTTAATTCTCGTCCTAAATTAGTGGGGCTAAATTAAGAAAGCATTTATGGTGGATTCAAATTCAAAAGTTTGGAGGGAATTATGTGGCCGGCGGCTATTGTGGGGGAGAAGGATATGGCCGACGACTTTAGGTGGTGGAGCAAGGGGCCGGCGGGTGGAGGCTTCAAGACGGCGACCAAGAGCTTGGGCTAGGTAACTTAGATCCACGAATTGAGCACTTTCATAATATGGATTATGTCAATTTAGGAAAGAATTTAAAATTTGGATTTGAAATCATATTTTGAGTTGGATCTCCATCCTAATCTTCATGCTCTGCTTTTGGAAAGAGGCAAGATAATCAATTTTGGATCCATGGGAGGGGAAGACCGGCGGTTAGGGTTTGAGGTTTTGGTGGCGTTTGGCTAAGGAGGAAGGGGTGTGTGTTAAGTGGAAGGGATCTTGTTGAGGTTGACCGGTTGCTTGGGAACTTGAAGTGGCCGGCGGGTGTTTGTGAAAGAAGAGGTGGCCGGATGTAGGGGAAAGGAAGAGACGATAAGAAAATACTACGAGTTCTAACCGCGAGTCCCAGAATCCACTAGCGGCTGGCCGGTGATGCATGACCCTCTCCTAGGGTTTCTCCTCTCAAGAACTCACAAAGAGATCAAGAACACGAAAGCTAAAATTTTTATTCATATTCATCATTCCCAAATACAAGAGAACTAGTCTATAAATAGGCCTCATGAAAAGAAAAGAAACAATGACTAAGATGCCCTTCAGACTACAACACCACATGATCACCCCTAGGAGTAAAATGGGAAAAACAGAAATATAAAATAAACTAGTATATAAAACACATAAAAAAAAAACTCCAGATCGTAGCCGTTGATCTCTGATGTCCTCATCACTTTCTCTATTAGTCTATCTGCTTACATACCCCTATTCATCTTGATTTTCTTTGCCAATATCTCGGAGCTTGAAGATTATTCTTTTTGATATCGTTGAGTTATTCATAGCTTCTAAGCTTATGATGTTCCTTCTATACAACATGTCCTGAATACGTTTATGGAAGGGAGTTGCATAAAATTGATAAAGCCTGATCCTTACAATGCATAATCTTATTAATATTTTTCAAATCATGGATAATTGAACTAAATTGATTTAGATATGACTTGAGTGCATACATTTTTTCATGCACTACAAATACTATATCTACTTTTTAAAGAATTTGTTGGAGAGGCTTTTGTTTATGAACAATAACTCTAGCTTGAGCTATAAATATTTTGCAGTAAATTTCTTCAAGAAATTTATCAAGATAATTTTTTCTCAGCACACGTCAGTACTTTTTCATCCATCTTTGTCTTTTCATCTTAAATACTTATCGTTGGCCTCTTTGAATGCGTCATGACTGTTTTTACAATACCATTACACAAGAGTTTCATTTATCTTGGTTCTCCAAAAGCCCAATTTTTTGACCCATTAAACTTCTTCATCTCAAAACTTCATGGCCATTGATCATAGAATTGCACTCTAGTATTAGTTTTTTGTAATGAGGGCTCCAATAGAAGCATCACCGTGATCATGATTGATGTTCCACATAGCAAATACAAATGAGAATTAGAAAGTACAATCAAAGAGATATCAAGGTATTGATGGTTTGACTTAAACTAAGTCTACATCTACATGATAATAGAGAGGATCTGATTCACTAACAACAAATAGAAGTCAAAATTGTGACATATAAAAAAAGGTCATTCACCGACCCTTTCTTAATTCTCAAGTACACCCACTCACGAAGGAGTGAAACAAAAAATGTTACACCTTGACATTACTTTACACATAAAATCCTATTCTTCTTGCATTCACCGGGAGCTGTTAATTCTTAAAAATTCTAGCCATTGCGAGTGCACGAAACAAGAATAATCTTTCTTTGAAGCCTAGATCGAACACCTCTGACAACCATCGAAAATCTCCAAATGGAAATGTGTAGCATGCACATCGAGGTAATTGGGCCGAACAAATGATTGTCAATCCTGAACATCCCAAATCTTGAGATGGAATTCTCCTATTCTAAAATTGAACCAGTCTTCACTAGAAACCCATGTCGCATGATATACCTTTAGGTGCGATTTTGGCTTGCTGTGCCTTCCCGTCTTCTTTTTAACACATGGGTATATGAGTCAAATTAATTTACTTACCTCAAGGATAACCTTCATATGTTTTCCTTTTTCATCTTTACATGCATTTAGGATTCATGAAAAGATACAATCAATAATATTGGATTTCTTTAATGCTGTTTTGTGCGATGCCTTGGCTATGCCTTTATTGAAATATCATATAAAAATTGTCAAGTTTGTGTCCCTGGATTACATCTTCCTGGTCTAGCGATTTTCCTTAAGCCTGCATGTGTTGTGTGTCGTTTTTAGTTTGTTTTCTTTGGTTAGTGTTTCTCCCGTTTTGTTATCCGTTTCTTAGAGATTGATTTTTTTTTAGATCAAATTTAGTGTTGAGTTAATTTTGAAATTTACAGAAAATGATTTTGACCGCTTGCATATCGAGTTCATCTTAATCCTTTTGCCTTACACACCCTAACAAATTAGAACCTACTAACAAGTTAAAATTGAATTTAGATATAAAATCACCTCTTTAAACATCTATAAATTATAAGAGAGAGAGAGAAGTTGGTGCTTATGAGCATGAGAACTAAAAGTTTTGTGGGTGGGAAATGGCGGACATTTTACATCAATCCCGAAGGTGGCCCACTGCTATTTAATTGGAAACAGAGAAAAAAAGAAGGTTGAGAAATCAAATAATAAAATGAGAGATAAGAAAAAAGTAGAAGGGAAAAAAAACTTTAGGTAACCAAAATTATTATCTCGATGTGGCACAGGTATGATGGTGCTTAAATATATTATGATGATTCCACATATATGTGATAAAGTACATTTTGAGAAAGCTTTGAAGTAGATAATTACCCATATTAATAAAATTTCTTATTATCATCTGTGTGTTGATTTTTTTTTTTTTTTGGTACGAGAGATTTAGGATTATCTTTTGACAATATGGGCGTGCTAGGGTTTGCGGAAGAATATTTCTTGTATCCTTTTTATTTGTAAATCTATGCGGTTTTTTTTGATGGTGGATCAAACCCTCTCCATATCTCAAATAACATCGACTTCTTGTTATCAAACCACATAAATCCTATTATCTTCTTATGATGCTTGATTTTTTATTTTTATTTTTGTAAGTTCGTTGCATTCTCTCTAAGCATGTTCTTCAGCAAAAAAAATATGAGTTTTCTTACTAACAATTGTATTAATTGTCTAGTACCAGATATAATGGCCATTATAATACCAAGATCAAAAAATTGTGATAGCTCAAAAGTTTGATCTTTGGAGCGCAAAGATGCAAGATGTGTTGATCTAAAGGAATTTGTGAAAGCTCTCTTGGGAAAATTTTGAATATGCTTGAAACTATGATTTCCAACCTTCTAAAGTTCATATGTTAATCATGACTATGTTGAACTTGAGCGACAAAAAAATAACTCATAATTTGTATTTTAAATACTTTCTGGTGTCCCTTTGAATAAAATAGACCTTGTCCATAGATCACATGAATAAATTCTAAGAAAACAGCAGATGATGGAAATGACCAATAATCATGTAGTCTGAACTATACAAAGGATACCCATCCTGGATGGTTTAACAGCTTCTCATGTCACATATAGAAATGAAAATGAACGGGAATTTCCTTAAGAAGTCCTGCCTGAGATCAATTATAAATTGTTATTGAGTTATCACGCATGTAAGGAAAAATAATTGCAAAGTGCAAAACCATTTTGGGCAAATATAATATCCAATCATTTTAAGCATGCAAACCTGGTAGTAACCATAGCATATCAACATCTTCAGTTGCATCATGTAAATCCTTGCTTCTACAATCATCAAAAGCCTAATTCCATTGCCCAAGATAATTGATAGATGAAATGGTGGCGGATATAAAAACGATCAAACTGGGGATTGTTCATGCTATCAAGAGTAAATGAAATAACAGGAAGTGTTGTTAGCCGTAAAATAGCATGATAACGTTCTTTGAATCCCTCTACCAATACTGGAGGAGGTGAAGGAGGAAAAGATGCCAATGATTCATCGCAATGCATTATCAATCCTATGGACACAAGAAGCTTATGTCCATTATCCAGTTTTAAGCTAAATACTGCAGCAGCCTGTTCAACTGCAAAAATAGAAACACCTTAAAATTAGAACAGCGTCAAAGTTATAGACTAAGTAGCCGCAAATCAGTAGCAATGTCTAGAAAGAACCCTATTTGTAAGATAATAACCTAGATACTAAATGCACAAATTATATATATCCTTACTTAAAAGTTTCATATTCAACTATGAACATCATAGTTTTATTGTCAAAATAGTATAAAGAAGATATAGAAAAGCATCTCCAATAAGGCCCTAAGAGGCTCACTTTTAAGAACAGTTTTGCACATGTCCTATTGATTACACAGTGTAAGTGTTTATCCACATTGAGTTTGTATCTAGTTCTAAGCTCTTCAATTATGATGTCAAAAAACAAAACAAAGAAAACAGAAGATTGTCTCACCTTGCTGAAGAGTCCATGAAGCTGGAGAAGAAAAGAGAAGTCGTGCTCCACATGCCTCACAGACTATGATATCCATTTCAGCGTTGATCCAACCTCTCCTTGCACAGTTTAAAGGACTAATTACCTGAAG